AAAGACACTTCTATGTTTTACCATGAGAAAGAAAAAATCAGGATTATAATTATTTTAGCTGCAAGTCTGGCAGTTCTACCTGAAACTGCTAGTTTTATAATATCTTTTAATTTTCTGTTCCTTACTTTCTAATAATTACAGCATGTAATCTGTTAAATGTAGTACTACCTTGAATCAAGATTGCAAGATGCTCACTTGAGTTACCCATCTACTTTGAAAAGTATTTTGTGCAGGGGATCTCACTATGCAAGTTATTTTTCCTAAACTACTTTCATCTTCAAAAACTTATCTGTCTTACAGAAAGTACTTACATGTCCAGATGGATAAAATGAGGTATGAGCAGAACTGAAAGAGAGCTTTGCCAAAGAGAAAACACAGTCTTGTAGTTAAAGAACACAGATCAAGAGGTCTGTGGTTTATTCCTAGCTTGGCCACAAAATCCTCATATAATCTTGAATATATCACTAAAACCTGTTCTTCCTCAGTTGCCCCAGAGACAGCTCTTCTTCTGAACACAGAGAATAGCTTCTTCAGGGGACAGATGACAGTTATTGATCAATGGAAAATAGAACATCACGATTCATGAACATCTGTGTGGTATTCCTCAGTAGAGGTCTGGAACACTATTGTCTTCAGCCTTCAGGAGACAGAATTTGCACACAGATACAATTCATCATATGATGTAGCTCAAAGTTGAGAGGATTTAACAGGAGCTTTCACATTATTTAAAATACAATTTAAAAAAAAAATACAATTTCCTCCTGTTTTACTGTCTCTCTAGAATTCATTCATCTTCCTCTATTAGGGGGGAGTGAGGGATGAGGGGTGGATGTATATTCCAATGCTCTGAGTTTATTTTTCACATCCTTTTTTATTTCCACTGCCAATTTCTTTTACCAACTTTTACCATCTTTCTCAGTGGGCACATCACATGTACCTAAACATATGTGTCTCCTTCAGACACTCTAAGTTGCCAAGCTGCTGAAAAGGGTGAAGAGATCGAGAGGATATCAACCCATTGAGAATGTCTTAGTGACCACCATGATTTCTCAAATGGCAGAATATGTCAAACTTTGGGATGAATTGAGCTTAAGGTGTCCTTTACCTGTAGACCTTTCTTACACTGATGATTACACGTTTCCCAGTTTAGTAGACTTACCAGGTAGTAATATGAATATTCAGTCAGAAGAAGTAACTCATTATCAAGAAACACAATGAACAAGTTACTAAAGAAATAATATGTATGGTCATCTCATCTTAAGGGAAAAGCAGAAGAGAAACCCACCACTGACTGACAGCACAGTTTTGAGAACTTAAAAACTGTGTTTTGTAACAAATTACTTCTGTATTTGGTCTAGTATTCTGATTCCAGCTGTTAGCAATGCATATGGAAGAATTCACCATAATGGAAACATAATAGTATAGTTTTCCAGGAAGGTGAATGGGAAAACGTCTAAACAGAACAGAATGGATGCTTATTTTGATTTACATCTCTCTTACTTGCTACTGTGTTGGCAACACTCATGATTTTTCACAATTCTCCAATTACTTGGTATGCCTTCTCATCTAAACACTACTGCAGTTGTATTATTATAGAAAAAAAAATCTCATTTTCTTTTTTTAAATTATATTCCTAACATTCAGTAATGATAAGAAAACACCACAAGCTCAAACCCAAAATTTTCAGAATACTAAAGGAAACAAAAAGAACTTGGAGTAAATTGTTTTTAAAAACTGTTATAAACCAATGTCACTTTTTTATCTGAAATGAAATGGTCATTGGTCTTGAATGTTTATGTAGGTAATGGCTCTAAAGTTACAGTGATAGTAGAGAACTTTCACCTCTGTAACTTCTCCTTCTAACATGTTTGTGTCGACCTTGGTACTGTTCTCAAGCTCTATTGCTCTTGTCTAATAGCAGCATCAGAAATGCAAATGTACTCTAAAAATCCAAGGCATAAAAAATTACATTGACAAAAATAAATAAATTTTTCAGAAGAAGAAGATGAAACTCAAATAAATGTGTAACCTGAACAATCTAAATGACATGTTATTGTGTCAAACCCTTCTGTTCACTTTTTATGTCTAAACTGACTTAAGAATTTGATCTTACTTCCTCTGAATTAAAAACGAAACTTCCATCTTTTCTTTGAAAAAATCACAGAAAGCTCTTCTGGAGTGAAATAGTATCTCCTGTTCAAAAAAATTCAGATTTATCTATTCCTTGACAGAAGTAATAAGAAGAAATGAAATAGTAAGAAAAAATTCTAACAGTTACAGTTTCAAACATCAATTAACTTAAACAAAAACTACAGTGTACTGGCTGGGTTCTGCTTGGTTTTACAATGAAAGAGTTGAGTATCACATTTTGTCTAATTATCTAAATAAACTACAGATCATTCTAAGTTGTCAGAACTTAAGCTGACTTGAAGGGACCTGGAGGTCTGGAAACTTTTAAGGCTTCTGACATCACTGTAGAAATAAGAAGAGGGGACAAGGATCTGATCACATCTGCTTCCTTCCTCCTTTCACTGAGATCTCTAGCAAAATTACCACTTGCACTCAGAGATCCAAACACAGGCTCCTTAACAAGGAGTTTCAAAGACATGGAGACACGATTCATCACTGCAGAGCTCATAGCTATGAGAAATCTGTTACAAAGTTACTAAATATAATTTGCCACACATAATAGCAATAATATCTATACCCATTTTATCTACAGATACAGCAAAGTAATGACAGTCCAGCAGCCACTTTGAAGGCTCACTAAAAAGATGAAAAAGATGGAGGTTAACACCCAATTTGTAATAAAAAAAAAAAATGAGCTCTGAGAGCTATTTGAAGATTAGTGGGAATTAGGCATGTCCGTACTTTTAGAAGATGCCCATCCACACCTTTATACACAAATACAGTATCACCGATGTGGTTCCCGCTGTGATTCAGTACTCATCAACTTAATTAAAATGTGAACTATGATGAACAATCTTCACCAATTTTTCAGTACAATTCAATGAAACAGTAATATTAATGATTGGTTAATGATCACAATTCTGTAGATAAATGTATTGAGTACTTAGTACATGACAAAGATAGTAGAAAAGCTCTGGACATGACCAGGCCTGTGCTCTGCCCATTCACACTATAGGGTTGAGAATAATTAGGGTCACACTAAGGTGTAGTACAGAACTCTGAAAAGAACTAGGTTCTTTTTTCCAAGAGTTGGGATTTCTTCTTTGTTTCAAGGGTTTTAAACATCAGTAAAGTTACAGAATACTCCAGGAACTGGAGGAAGGACACCGCAAAATACTCGTTCCAGCTCATCCACATTTTGCTTGCTTAGTAGGCTGCATGGAGCAAAAATGAACATCAGCATGGCTGGAGTTCCTAAAGATGGTTTAGCCTGCCAGCTAATTCCATCAGTAGCACAGAGGGAGCATACGTCATCTGTCAGGAGTATGGCAAAAATTAGGAATTCTGACAGCAGCAGTCCAGCCAATCTCCTCCTGAATAATGGCCACAAAGGACACAATCAGTCTGACACTGTTGGATCATCCTTGGAGTTACCTTCATTTATGCTAAAACAAAATTGATGACAACCTATTGCAGAATTTGTCAAAAGGGGATTGCAGCATCAACTGTTTCAAAGTGCCATAAAGACTGATTTTGTTAAATGAAAAAGAGCTCATCTTATCATTTTCTTTTCTAATAGGCCTTCTAGCACAAAGCTCTTCACTGGAAATGTGGGTGCTCTTTTAAAAGGAAGTATTCCTAAATATGGATATTTAATATAAAATCTCATACCGACATCTGTATTTAAACTGTCAGGAAAGACATTACAGCCATTTTATCCTTGTTTCTATTAACTGTGTAACAAGCATGAGATATATACAGAAGATGACATGGAAGAAAAAGCAAACAATAAAATGGGAGTCAAATTCTCAAACTGAAGAAAACTTCTTGACTCTTGTTACTCTTCTTTTTGAAGTATCCATGCAGTAACTTAGAAGAGACTGCAGACTCACAAACTGAAAAGAATAGAGGGCAAATCAGGGCTATTTCAAGGATTCAGATCGAATGTTGATATATTTAAACACACTATAACCCAAAGAGGAGGGTTTTCTTCAATGTCATCTTATTACACTGCAAGGGAGGAAAACAGACAGTTCAATCACAAAATCATAATGCTTAAGCAGCATGAAATCATAAAGCTAGCAACAAAACAGGTGAAGCATGCTACATTTATGATTCATATGCTTCCTTTCACCCTAGTACAGTATTGGTTTACTGATAGCCCTAAATGGCCAGTCCCTGCTGGTCTCTCCAGCACAAGAGGAGTGAGCAATATTATCCTTTTGGGTGTAGTTACTGTACTGCACTCCATCATATAAAAATAATGCACATGAATAGTTAAATTGTTTATCCAACTGTAGACATAGGTTACAAGCTACCATAAATAGGGTTGTTGTTTAGACATGTACATAAAGCTCAATGCATACAAATAATCTTTACTGTCACATTCTAGATCCATTGAAATTGGTATACTGCTACAATATAATTTGGTAATTTTACTTTGCTACAGACATCCCAATTCTCTTAAAAATTGATGTGAACTAAAATAACAAATTATTTGCAAAATCATATCTATAAAAGAAAGTCTAAATGTGGACTTTCTTTGACCACTTAGTTTCCTCATAGTTTTTTCAAATCTGATGTGATTTTGAGATCACCAATGTTGATATTCTCAAGCACCTGAGGGACAAGTACATCTTGAAACAGGTGTCTCCTTAAGATTTCCTTGAGTATAAAAATCCAGAGTAAAAACAATTCAGAGAAAGTTCTCAACTCTATCTTTTGCCTCCACATGGTGAAATAGGCATTTCCACCTAAGATACTTAACTGAAATTAGAACATCACAAAATAAACTGGGACGTTTCTTCTTTGCACTATAGCTGGACTCAATATACAGATGAGAAGGGAATGGAAAGGACAGCTCTGCTTACCTCAGGCTGAAGGCTTTTTCAGTCTCTGCAGCAACTCATTTGGGTTAATAAGGAATTGATTGCAGAATTCGGCCCATCTTTTATTATCACAGATCTTCTTGATTCCAGTCAATTCCTAACAAAAGGATCATAGTTTCCAGAGTGACTAAATAACCTCATAGAAGTGAATTAGGCTCCTAAATGCCTTCTGACAAATTTTAACCTTATGTCTTATATACTGACATGTTCATTATCAGATAAATACACCTGCTATACTGCCATCAGTTGTCAATCAGTAATCCATAGTATTGACAAAATTTCTAAATTGCTTTCAAGATAACATCGTTCTCAAAAAATTATTTTAAACATCTTTTTCTATATAACATGAAGGAAATAAAGATTTCTTTTTCAAGATGTACTTACAATATACTTTATACTAGCGTATGAAACTTGTTGCAGTCAAAAAAAATTACAATTAATAAGGGAGGAACTAATGAAATACTTATTTGTTACTGGTATTTGCATTTCATTTTCTGAACGCTAATTCTGAGAGTACCTTTTACTATTTTCTACCTTTGTCCTCAAGTAAGGCTCAATCAAAAATTCTTGAGTTTCTCTTTTCAGCCAGAAGATGGAGTCACTGCTTCCTTAGAAAGATCTTCACCCATACTACTATCCTGTCTAGTTCCTATAGCTATGTCAGCTTCCAACCAGGTAAATATTAATAACCACATTAAAAGTTATAAATTATTCAGAATTTTGAAACATTGGTCCTGGCCAGTACAATGCTGTTGACTAAGTCGAAAGTCTACTTTATTAGCTTATGGCAAATCTTTCTAGAATATATCAGCACGGGGAGTGGTGCTTATGAATAGCTTCTATTATTCTAGTTAGTATCTTTCCAGACACAATCTTCACCTGAAGGTTTTTGACTGAATTTCCTGCCCTGGCTCAGTGAAACTTCCACAGGAACAGTGGCAGTCTTCCCATATAGTTTACTGATCACTCTTCTTGGGAAGAAGAGATTGCAGCATAGCTCATCAGAAAACTGACAATTTTGGAATAAGAGCTTGCTTACTGATGTTATATCTATTGCAAATTAATATCAAAAAGTACACTACATAAGAAGCAGTGTTAAAAAGAGCCGATAATTATCCATAGAGAATTTATGGTTCTGTGTTCTTAACATATAGGTTTACCTGTATGTACATCCTCCTACCAAATAACTTGAAAATAAGAGTAGAAGATCAACATGAGAGCTTACATCAACAGCTCTGTTTATAAATGAGCCATCAATTAACAACATACTACTAGTACTTCCCGAAATGACTGAGCAGTAGTAAAAAGCTGGTTCATGAACTACAGATATCACAAAAAGACAAACTGAAGAGACAAATGCAATAAAGATTACAAGTACATGACACTACTGGAGTTCTGCACATACTCACTACAGTGATCAAAAACTTCTGCTTTAAAAGGCTTAACATGAAAAGCAATTTATCAACCATACAACTAAGTTTGACTTCCACAACACTGTAAACAGATTACAGGTATTATAAAATTAATCACAATTTCAATTCGTAATCACAAGCAAGTACTTCAGTAGTCACACATTATCTGACTACACCTGTAGCTGACATAACAATGTTCCCTGGCTATCTACTGTTGAATTTGTGCCCTGGCTGGCATTTACAAAATAGAGAACCTAAGAAATAAGGGTTACCTTTGCCTTTTGGGTTAGCTGCAAAGGTGGGGTCAATCTTTTTGCTTTAAAGCATAGACAGCAAACCACCATCCAGAAATCAAACAAATTTGTCAGTGAGTACTCAGAGATACCCAATCTGTCAATGTGAGAAAAAATGTTTTGTAATTACTCTGTGAAGTTAGTCTGATCACTTGTAAATTCCAGAAAGTCAAGGTAAGGGAAAAATTATTACTTTTCATTTCCTCATGGTTTTAATTTAGACATGTCTGCAGAATATTTATGCATAATAAGACACAAGTTCCTATAACTGAACACATTCAGTGTTCTCAATTTTTTTTTAGAAGTGCAACACAATAAACTGTTACACATATAACAAAATGTATTTGCTCAGTTACCAGATATTTGTTTATAAAGCTTTCAAAGTTACCTAACAAGATCAAGTTTAATTCACAAAAGATTAATAAATCAACTTCTGAAACTTTGTGCTACTTCCCATAAAAGACATTCACCCACACCTACAGTTCAAAAGGTTTAATTTTTTATTGAAGCATCATGAACGGTCATGATGGTAACTCCAGCCAAGTTAGGAAAACAGGACTGCTATTAATTATTATTATTATTTACAGCACATAGTAGTAAATTAATTGGGCAATAAAAGGTATCGCTATGATTTATCAGAGTATTAAAAACTCCTTCACTGGATTTTTTTCCTACCGAACTACTGCATTCAGTATTATAAAGCAAGCTTTTTACCTTTTTATTTTAATTAAGTGACCCACTTTTGCAGAAAGTAAAATGGAATTCTTGTGAATGTCAGTGAGAAGAGAGTAGAATTTACATTATTAGAAAAACAAAAATTGAGGGTAAATATTTTAAAATCTCCTTCATCTTACATTTATGCAACTGCAGAAAATCCATGAAAAAGATTGTCCAGGAAGTCCAACATCTGAGAAACTTAAAGAAAACCTGGACAAAAGACAAGAAATATGAAGGCCAGCTTTAACCAATGGAAAGCAACTGGTAACCAGATAGGTTTTTCTCATCACTATTTTTTATAATTTACAGAAGAGTATTAACTGACAATGACATTGCATTTGAGTGTCAAAAATTCAAGCTTATTTCTACTCCATCACCACTCTTTCAGAGAATTTGTCAGACATAAATCATCTCTATTAAAATGGAAAAAAGTAACTAGTATCTGGCAAACCTTTAGAAAGTAACATGCTCATTATTAGTGCACAAAAAAGTAATGAACTATTTTCCATTTCTTATCATTAATACTGGTTTTGGAACTACTACCTTTGTGCTAAAACTGCTAAAGCAGCCAACATGGTACAGAGATTGAAAGACCTGAATTACTGAGCTCAGCAATTTTGCCTACATATATGATGCTTACAAACACAGTATGTGTAAGAAAAATAATGTATTATTGCATAACATTCTTAATTGCATCTCTCCCTGCAGGACTCCGTTGAAATACGGCATGTTGTATCTTTATAAAAAATATTTTGTAGAAGGAATTTAGAAAAGCAGAGAGCTAGTAAACAGATAACCATTGCACACATAGTTACAATGCATTATGTGTTTCATAACCTAAATATTTCAGTTGACAGTGCAGGTTTTTAGTAAACCTAAATGGACGTTAACTCTACATGCTCCTATGTAGCACAATCTTTACCTGCTCTTATAAGGTATTAGCCTGAATGACAAATATTGCTTCCACACTCACAAATACTGTCTAAATAGTACTTCAGTTAAATCCATATTTAGAGTCCATTGCTTTCCAGGTTTTAAATTATTTAGAAGTTAAAGAGGAAGGTTTTCTGAACTAGGCTTCCAGGGGAAGTATGTGAGTTTGTTCTCTGAACACGCATTATCAGTGTGCTTCCTGGAGGACAGCAACAAAAGAACATGGTATGTGAAGGGCATCTTCCTGAAAGACTTCACAAGACTGCTGTGGGGACACCTCATTTCAATAACTAGCCAAAGGACTATGCTATTTAGAGCATACATGTGTAGAAAGAGAAAAAAAAAAAAATAAAAAAATAATTTTAAAAAGTCTGACTTCTGCAGATAAAGTGGATCCTTGGGTTCTGTGTGCAAAACCACAAACTTCTCTATCCCCTAGTATCTACCAGAAGAACTGTGAAGATGTCCTTTAATTTCCACGACAGCAATTGTGAACAAGCTCTTGCTCAATGTTTACAGGAGGATTACCTCTCAATATTCCTGTCACCACTTTGTTACTGTTCAAACAGATGAGAACAATCCAAACAGCACATCTGCAGTGGTCAAAATAGTGTACTGTGAATCTATGACTGTTGTAGAAGCAGTTCCTTCAAATGTCATACTACTGAACACCTTTTAAGTCTATTTCCCTTTGAAAACCCTAGCTTAGGCAGAAGGGAAAGCAAAGCAGGTGGTGAAGAGACTAGAAGAAGATGCAGATGGTTCAGTTTGTATTGATTCTCCCAAGGTTTCTACTGACATTCAGTGGAAGCCTTTCCACCATACTGTCTCATCTACCATCCTTAATACAGGATATTATTACAGTGTATCAGATGGCGCAAGCTGATATTATCTCAGTCAATGCAGAAAAAAGTCCTTATTCTCACAGTGCTAATGTAGAAGAAAGTATATCATTTTTGTCAGAAATTTTACAGAATCTTAAAAAAAAAATCACTGCATCTTCCTAAACAAAAACCAAGCTCATTAATATCAGTCTTACATGAATGAAGAAATTAAAAGAAGATTAATACAAATCTAATTAGTACACTGCGTTGGGTGCCCATGTCATGTTTTCTTGCAGGCGGCTGCAGGGCTGTGAGGAGAGGCCAGGCCTGCCCCGTGCTGACAGGGCCAGCCGGTTCCAGCCGGTTCCGCAACCGCCCCAGCACAGGGTGCAGCTGAGCCCGTCAGCGACGCTGGTGCTGCCAAAACGTGTGTGAGAACAGAGCAAAACGCTGCCCGGCACTGAGGGGAAAGTGTGAGGAAAAGTATGAGGAACAGCCCTGCAAGCACTGGCGCTGAACAAGTGGGGAGATGATGTGCTCCAGGGGCCAGAGCAGGTATTCCCCTGCAGCCTGTGGGGAGACCATGGGGGAGCAGCCAGACTGCAGCCCACAGAGGGTCCCTTGCCAGAGAAGGAAGCTATTTCCTGAAGCGACTGCTGCCCATAGAGAGACTCACACTGAAGCAGGGGAAAAGTTTGAGAGGAAAGAAAAAGCAGAGATTAACTGTTTTCAACAGACTACAACCTGCCATTCCTAAACTCCTGCCCTGGTTGGGGCTGGGGTGGGTAGAGGAGTAGGAAAGGAAGGAGTAAATTTGAGCCTGGGAAGAAGAGGAGGGCGGTGTTTTAATTTTGTCGTTTCTCACCACCCAAATCCGTTTTATTTAGCAATAAATTAATTTTCCTCAAGTTGAGTTTGATTTGCCTGTGCCAGTAACTGGTAAGTGATCTCCCAGTCTTTATCTTGACCCACAAGCTTTTTAATCTTATTTTTTCCCCTATCCTGTGGAGGAGGGAGATGAGACAGCAGCTGGGTGTGTGGCTGGCTGCAGTACAAGGTCAACCCACCACATCTCCAGGCTGATGAACACCACTGACTAACAGTTGAGGGGGGAACATGACAAAAAAAAAAAAGGGGGGGGGGGGGGGCAGAAGTGAAAGGTGGTAAACATAAAAAGAGGGAAATACTAGATTTGAAATCTTATCCCTACCTGGATTATTATTAAGTTCTGCAGTCACTCTCTGATATATTTAGATATTTTGATCACAGATCCATACTGCCAATAATTATTTCAGTGACACATTTGGGCCTCTGTACTCATTTAGTTCTATTCTCAGCACACAACTGGAACCCTAAATATAGTCCTTGTCTGTGGGTATCATGCTGTGTAGCTCCAACAGGCATGCTTTACTGTTGTAACCCTTTCTTCTGCTCCTGAATTGTGTAAGAACTTGGAACAATCTGTATCTACAAATGCTCATCCTCTTTTAGTGTGTCAAATCCCGTATATAACTATTTGTAGGGAAAGATGTGAATTAAACTGTATGGATATTTGGGAAGGCTACATAAAGAAAAATGCTTTTGAATAAACAATATATGAATCTGACAAGGATTATGTATAAAACGGAACAGCAAAAAAAGTAATAAAATACTTTTTAAAAACCACAGTATTTTCAGGAGATATACGCTAAATACACATTATGACACCCCTAGTATGCTATACTTTTACACATCTTTTCCTGAGATGCATTTAGTATCCCTGAAATTTATTATCAATTAGCCTCCATTTGCACTAAATTTCTTCCAGTATCACACAGAGTGGTTACAAACTCTGTTGATGATACCTTTAATGCCAAGCGCACCATCTTCCCCGACATACTGAAAACTGACTTTTTTTTTTTTTTCGCACTTTTCCCCCTTCCCCACCAATTTCACACTTCCATGTCTCCTTTCCTTAAGTAATCATAAAATTCTACCAAGACTGTTCAGTAAACTTTTTGTCCATCAGTAATGACACTCTTGACTGTCTACTGAAAAGTACCAGTTTCATTCTTACACACCCCATTTGTGTAACAGTTGTGATATTGATCTAACAGTCCACAAAAACACATCTTTCAATGGTTACAATAATTGAGCAAAACATGTCCATTCTGAAATTATTAATGCTATCACAGGGAGATTAATTTCCTTTTTATGTTCTTCTATAAGGAACTCTACTTTGATTCATTGATGTCACAGAACAAATTAGCGCAGTACATAGATGAGCAGTATGATATTAAAATCGGGCATTATTCTGCCACTGATATCAAACAATAAAGTAGCAGATGGGGTTTTTTTAGAAATGGCTTTCATGTCAGAGTAAAAGGCTGCACAAACCAAAATTATTTCTTTCTTCTGGAAGTTGCTCTTTGGTTGCATGTCTGGGTCAAAATCTTCAATGTATGAAAAGACGACATTATACAATAAAAGGTCAAACATTCAGTGATATACAGAAGATAAGACATTTCATAACCTTTTATGTTTTGGGTCTTTAGCTTCAATATGTCAATAAAACACAACACTTGGTGAAAAAAACAAACACTGACCAACTTGTATGTACTTTTGGACAACATATTTGCCAAAAATTTAATTTTAGTAACACTGCCTTATTATATACAAAGTTTACTTATAACATGTTATTCTTGCTCTGAAAGGAATTATCCTGTCAGAATTAAAAGCAGTGAAAGCAGTGATATTTACACTGCCATCAAAACTGTATTTATAAGATCAAGCATTAGTGTTCCAATTTTATTCATTTCTACACTATGCCTGGATTTGCTTCTCCAGCGAATTAAAGACAAATGGTACGATTTTGCATTTGTTTCAATGGGAGGTAAATGCAATTCAGTGTCCTCCCTCAAACATGTCTTACCTACAATACTACCAATGTCTTAAGGACACATTCTACCTCTCTCCAGCACAGCTACTCTCTTCAGAAATTAACTCAAGGTATTTGAATACCCCGGCTTAGGGACAAGTCTGTTGAGGAACAGACCAACTCTTAGCTGATACATTTCCTCCTACCAACTGCTGATAAGCATATATATGGTAAGGAGTAAAACACCATTAAACAAAACAATGTTGTCTATGAGTACTTTTAAATAAATGAATTAAAACACAAACATTTCATTTTGTATTTAACACTGAAAATGACAGGTAACTAAATTCAGGTTTTATGCAGCTATTCTTGCCCACCAGAAGATGGGTGGAACATCAGATACAGCAGAATCTTTGAATTTCAATTGCAAAGACAAGGATAGTATATGTAAAGCATTTCCTGCACATCAAGTGGTCAATTCTATAGTTCTAGCTTCGTATAATAGTTTCCAGGAGCTTAGGAAAATTAACAAAATAAGACTGCTTACTTTGATCTCAGCCCATGGGAATGGGAAAGAAAGAGCAGGCAAACATAGTTA